ATCGATTTATCGATCCGGCGCTGGCATGCAAAGCCCTACGCAATCGCCTCCAAATCCGACGCCACTGATGCTTGATTGGCTCATATCCCTTTTAAGTGTTGTATGCCCTGTTGCCGCTTTTATCTCCGACGCTGGACTCCTATACGCGTCCGAAAGCTCAGACAAATCGAAAAGCTCCGGCGATCGAAAAGCATTCTTCCCCCCCCCCCCCTGCTTATACATACCCCAGAATGCAAACATTCGTCTCAATTCGGATCTTTTTTGTACTGCTCAACCCATCATGTGGTACGGCGGGAACTTATTACCCCCCTTCCTCTGCGTCATGCCTTCCACAATGCTGCCGAGGGCGTGCCGAATGCCACCCGCTCAGATGCCAGAGCGCCTTGAGCGAGGATGTCTGCATCAACCCTGAAGTTGATTGGCCGGTTTGAATAGATGTAATTGCCTGGGAACCAGACTGCCGGGCAGGCACGAGTGAGAGGAGCAGCGTTGCAACGGGCGCTCGGAGTAGGACCACCACGTATTAGCCTTTTAGAGAACATCAAAAAAGCTAAAGAGAGTCGAGCACAGGGAGGGATACCTTCGTTGACTGATTTGTTGGACTAGTTTCCAAGTCTATTCTTAGAAGTATGCGGAGGTCAGCAAACTGTTTGAGCTTTAGCGGTAATGGATCTGCAGTGACAAAAAGCTTTTTGTTGTAGTGCGCAAAAAATACTCCTGTAAAAGTGAAGAAGAAAGGTCGAGCACAGGAACACTTCGGCTGTTGTCCTGAGCTTTCAGACTCGTGCAGGAGTCCATCGTCAGAGGTAGTCGCAGCAACAGAACAAGCGACAGTTATAGGGCATGCAGACCAATCATCGACCGACGGCGCAAGACTGGAGGTGACTACGCAGGGCTCTGTACATCGGCGCTAGATCGATAAATCGATTGACCGAGTTCGCATCCGAGGCCCAGCCTTCAATCAATTCTCGGCCTGTTTCGTTTCCGACGTGGGCGGCTATTTTGGTAGCTGCGACGTTAAACTCGGTCGGTCGATTTATCGATCTGGCTTCGGCGTACAGAGCCCTGAGTAGTTACCTTCAGTCTTGCGCCGTCGGTCGATGATTGGTCTACAAGCCCTATAACTGCTGCTTGTTCTGTTGCTGCCACTACCTCTGACGATGGACTCCTGCACGAGTCTGAAAGTTCAGGACAATAAACGAAGTGTTCCGGTGCTCGACCCTTCTTCTTCACTTATGCATACACTTGGAACTCGAAATTTCGCCTTCACTCCTGTAAAACTTAGGCACAAATTTCAATAACAGTCTGACACCAAGCGGCATTCTCATGGGCACTTTGTTTTTTTTTCTCATTCTACTTACGTTTGTACCTGCGTATATTTGTCCCCTAAATCCAAGGACAGACCAGTTTATCTACCACATTGGTGACTCTGTATCGTTCATAGTGTCATCTGTTTCATTTTTATGCTTGACAGTTTCTGTTCGGATTCATCTCTGCCCTACTTTTCATTTGTCGTACCATCTTAACCAGGCCTTATTTGCTATCTACTCTGCCCTACCTTTTCAACCAATACGAGTGTTAACGTGCCAGTCATCTACTCCGATTATCTGACTTCGGACCGACATCAGTTAATCATGACCGGCGGATCTATAAACGGGCTAATAACCGGCATCTACATTTTTGCCCTCCCATCCGTGTAGCTTGGTGATATTGCTTTGTGATTGCACATTGTAGATTCCCGTTTCGCTGTCTACCAGATTACAAGGAAGGATACGAAATTTCGTCGCGTTGTAGCAACATTGCTACGGACTTTCACGATATTATAGATTGCCTGCCCATAGAGGCCCTCTATACTGCTACAAAGGAGGCTCTCATCTCCCGTCTTCAGCGTTTGATTTCCGAGGAAAACCTAGGTGGTAAGAAGCCTACGAAGCCCTTGAGGCCTCTGAAGCAGTTGGCAGACGGACAAAATCTTGATACCACAGTGTTCAAGCGACTTTAACGGCTGCTGTCTTCCGTGGAAGCCATCCTTGCACCCAACAGTCCTTAATTGTCTACCCAGATACTCGCGGGGACTGCTGACCGCATTCTCGAGTACTGCCAGCCACCTGTAACAGTCAGTGTTGCTAGCCGTACCACAGTTGTGTCATGAAACGTCTAGACGCCCTCACCCTTGGCGTTTCTCAGCTTCGAGCCTTTCGTGTCTCTCGCCGTCGAAGTCCCTACATTAATCGCCGTAAGAGGTCTCTTACTGCGGCGTCAGGCTTGTACACGCCTAGCAGTTTCTGCTGGTACTACCATGTCTTTGGATCAAAGGTCCAACATGGTCAATCTCCATGTCTTTAAGAGAAATCCTCGACGGAAAACTCACCTGCCGACCAGTAGCGGAGACGAACTTGGTCGTTCCAACCTCCCCAAAGTCGCCTGCCCCACATTTTCGATAGAAGTTTCTGCTGTACTTTTCCCGTGGATGCTGTTTCTGGTATCAGCCTAATTCCACTACACTCGACAGACTGCAAGTCATCAAACCCCGGGCTGCTAATACCACTCCCCCCTAAAACTGTTGATAAACGATCTCCTCTTTTAGATCTTGCTTTAGGGAATTCTTTTTGCTGGATATTTACTAGTGCTGACGTTTATAGCGCCATTCTCGGTGCCGATTTCATATCCTTTCTCGGTCCCTTTGTTGATTTTACGTCCCATAAACTTGTTGGACCGATGAAATATTTGTGTTCTAACTGTCCAACTCGTACCGTTTCATTCCTTAGACCGTGCATCTCAACAATTCCTTCATCACCTCCCTATCATTCTTTGCTTTTGGGATTTCCATCTATCACCCGGGCTTCACAATCTGACTAGCCTGTTTCTTCATGTATTAGGTTTCGACTATGGGACCATCCGTTTTAAGCCGCTATCGGCGTTCAGCTGTTGACAAATTGGCTATCACAAAGACTGAATTAAACCATATGATGGGACTTGGCATAATGCAACCCTTCCACTAGTCCATGGGTCGCCCCTCTGGATATGGTTTGCAAAAATTCTCTCACAGACTAGTATCCATGAGGTGACTGCCGGCGATTAGAGGAATTCACTGTCCCTGACAGATATCCATCACCCACCTCCAGGCTTCTTCCTCTAGCCCAGCAGTTTCAACAGTCTTTTCCAGACCTGGCCTTGTCAAAGCCTTCCGCGAAATCCATGTCGCCCCAGAAGACACCCCAAAAACGGCGACTACGACTCTGTGACGGTTCACGTCTCCTCGACCTCCGCCTTTGTCACGCTGCCGTCCTGTCCGCCTCACACTCCTTGTCGATACGCTGCTGGGACGCGCGAGGCTCGTCACTAGCCTCGCGAGTGCTCGAAGCCAATCAACGCTGTCCCCACTCTGATTGGCTGGCGGACGTGGAGACAACGAAGGGCGCACACACGCGCGGACACAACACCCCGAAGGCGGACACAGACAACAGCTTGCTTAAGCAAGCTCCAATTGGAGCGCGCTTGCGGCGACTGCCTACAGAGCCCTTGTGTACGCACTTCCTCAGGCAATAAAGGTTGTCCAACTCAAACCGTCTTCCCTGACTTTTGATAGGGAATCCTGATGTTGTCGACCACTCAACGTCTTTCGACAATTGGTGACCCCTTTGCGAACAGCAATCTTTTTTCCTAATCTACGGTAAAGCCAGGCGTTGATCATGGACAACTTTCCACCGGAAGTGCAGCATATTTTGGCACCCGCCTACGGCATTCTTTCGGCAACGCAACTTACTCCGATGGCTGATCGTCTTCTGGAGATGCACGGCTGTTCCGAGCCGTCATTTTCAGCCCTCTCAACTACCTCAACTCATCCTACGTCTCCCCTTTCACAGTTGGAGATCGAGCTCAGCAGGTTGGCCGATGATATAGCTTCACTCCAGAAGCAGACACTCTCCCCCTCATTTCGGACCCAACCGAAGCCGTCCACCCCGCATCTCCAGTCTTCACATTCAGTCCGTCCAAACGCAGCTGCCATCTGCTGGTACCACACCACCTTTGGTGTTAAAGCCTGTCGCTGCATCTCTCCTTGCTCCTTCACCTCCAAGCATTTTCGCGTTTGTCAGGCTGCCTATTGGACTCCGTAACTCCACCCAAACTTTCCGACATTTCATTAGAGAAGTCCTCCGCGACTTACCGCTCGTTTTTGTTTATGCCTGACTGCAAGCTCCAGTAAACATCGGCACCTACAGTACCCACGTCTCATTTTTGAGTGAATAAGCCAATTTAGCGTTTCCATCAACATCTCTAAAAACGTGTTTTGGGCGTTTCCTTACTCTTTTTTCTAGGACGTCGTGTAGATGCTATCGACTATCATTCCACAGAGGCCAAAGTTTCAGCTATTCGCGATCTTTTTACTTCCACTTCTTTTCGACAACTGCGCCGTTTTATAGGCCTTGTCAGTTTTTACCACTGTTTCATCCCTGATTGCACTCAAGTAATGTTAGCCCTCTCAAATCATTAAGGGGGACAAAAAACAGCAAGTTATCTTTTCCTAACTCAGCCGTGGCCGTCGTTCAGTGTGCCAAAGAGACCTCCTAGCGGATACAAGAGTTCTTGCTCACCCCCTAACTGATGTCCCACATTCCATAGGTGCAGCCCTCCAGCAAGAGAACCCAACGGGCATCCAATCCCTAGCCTTCTACTCGGCTAAATTGGCATCTCTCAAACTCGTTGTTGCAATTTCGGTAGAAAACTCCTTGCCGTTTATCTCTGCATTAAGAGCTTTTGTAACTTTGTTGGAGGCTGAGATCTCTGTATTTACACTGATCGTAAGCCGCTCACTTATGGCTTCTCCACTTTCTCTCTCTCTGACAAGTTTACCCCCTCGTGAGGCCCGCCAACTTGATTTTATATTCCAGTATACCACAGATATCCAATTTCTTAAAGGCTTCCCTATTCAGGTCGCCGACCGTCAATCTGAACCTGGAACTGATGTCATTACCTGACCTTCTGTCGGCCTGGGGTGCATGGCCGAGCTGCGACGGCAGCAGCAGCAGCAGCAGCGGCAACAGCAGCAGCAGCAGCAGCAGCAGCAGCAGCAGCCGAATTTTTCCGAACAGCTGGAGCATATAAGCCTTCAGGTTAACGCCATCCCTCTGTTCGCTACCTCCAGTACAAACCTGTGCGACGTGTCGCGCGGTTTCCCTCACGCCATAGTACCAGGCGAGATAAGGCGACACATTTCCACCGCTCACTCTGGCATCCAGGCTACTCAGTCCCACAAATGTTATCATCGACAAAGACCAGCAATTTAAATCTAGACTTTTTAACGCCCCTACTGACGCCCTGGGATATTCCCACATACTAATGACAGCCTATCATCTCTCACCCAACGGTCTAGTTGAGCGTTTTCATCATGAAATCAAAATCTCGCTCCTATCCTATGACGGTTTAACCCTTTGGAGCGAACATCTCCCTTTGCTGAGTTCTCTGCCTCCGCATCGCGCTCAAACCTGACTTGAAATGCTCCACTGTCGAACTTGTTCACGGAATTACCCTACGGATTTTTATCGATTTTTCGGGTCGTCCCAAAGCCTAGTCGATCTGGAGGTTACCCATTATGTTCAACGGGTGCGCTAAGCAGCAACTAAACCCCGGGCCACACCATCAGGCGTTCCAGCAAGTAAGTCATACCTTGCCAACATGTTCTTCTACATTTGTCCGCGTAGGTAGCGTTCGTAAGCCACTGCAATGACCCTACGACGGATCCTCTCGAGTCCTGTCACGCACGGACAAGCATTTCAAAATCGCCTATGGGGTTCGCCCCGAAGCGGTCTCGATCAATCGGTTGACGGTGGCTTGTACTGCCCCTCTTTCGCCCGACCCGAGAACTAAGCCTTATTCACCTGCCACGGTGCCTTCTCCGATTCCCCGCATCCGATTACACCTGACAACCCTGTGCATTCCCCTATCCCCCCCCCCTAACCCCACCCACTGCGCGGAGTGGTCGTCGTGCCCATTTCCCTGATCGTTACCAACTTGCACATTATATCTAACACTTGTCTAATTTAAACCTATGCATAAAAATTTCGGTCTGAGCCTATAGACCTAGAATGTACTGATCTACTCAAATCAGCAGTTAATTTTTGAGGAAATCAGAAAGCAACAACTCACACCATTTTGCACATTCGAAATCCGTTCTCACACGAGGGAGAGTGTTGTAGTTGCAAAAAGGCCTTTTGTTTTAGTGCGCCAAAGGTACTCCTGTAAAACTTAGACACAACTTTCAACAAAAATTTAACGCCAGACAGCATTCTCGTGGCTACTTTGTTCCTCCTCATCCTATTCGCGTATATTTATCTTATTAGTCCAAGCATAGACCGGTTGGTCTATTACATATCAGCCAAACTCCTCGCCCCTGCTAATAACTGTGTACTGATTTTGTTGGGCTGGGAGGGAGCGGGGCTCGATAGTGTATCTCACTTTGGTTGCGTAACACACTTGAGCTTTCTGCCAATGGAGTACGGTATTTGCGGTAGCTGGATGTCACTCTCTCCTGAAACCCCTCATTCTTCCTTCGCACTGAAATCCTTTTTAGTGAAATTAGTTGGACGTTTACGTTCCTCTCACACCCCTCAGGCCTTAATCGGGTGGTATATAGATGCCTGCACTCTCCCCATAATTCTTTATTATTCTGTGATTTTTTCTGTTTTGTTTAAGAAAGACATGCTCCTTTTAAAACGCTGCTCGCATTTCTCAGGTTTTTTTGTTGATATCATAATAAAACGACATCTCACAACGGTCAGGCAATGGTGCCCATCCCCTGCACCTTGATACAGTTGCTGCGATGTCTTTCCGCTCCATGCGCCGTGGCTACCGGCACATCTCTTGCCGCACATCCACTTACCAACGTTCCGTGTCGCCATTTCTGGCACGATACCTTACGTGTAGGGAGACCACAATTCAGAAACCGAAATTCGCACCGCCTTTAAGGCAGTCGTGCACTTTTACGTAGACCCGTTCGCGTATTTATATGCTGGCCACGCTGAACAGAGGACGCTTTTTGCTGAAGAATCTGGAATGCCACTTCTAGAATAAAACGTACGCTCTTGCTCTCTAGGCGTGACACACCCGCTTAGAAATTCATGGTTTAGCTCCGGCGTCTCTAAACGTGCAAGCGCCGTCTTGCTCACAACAAGAAAATGCGAAGGGGATTTCGTTCTGGACTGTACGCAGCCACAAGAACTAATTAACTGTCCCGTCGAACGGGCACATTTTGATCACGAATGCCGGCCTCCAGATCTGTCTCCTGTAGAGGCGTGTAGTTGCAAAGTCGGCACACGTGACTACCCAATCACGTGAGTTTAGTCGGGCCGTAGTGCGCATGTCCGTTGCAACGATGAGCCTGCCCACACGTGCGCACCAGTGACAAGCTGATTTTCGCCGCTCACTGCTTTCCAACTGGCCAATCATCTTCAAGGCCGAGTCAGCAGTGCTCTGTGGCGCATACGCCGCTCTCGCGTCGACGGACGTACGCTTATCTGGCTGCCAACTGTCTCCGATCCCTTCTCCAGTTATTCTGTGCAGAATACGCTATTCATGCAGCTCATTCTCTTTCTGTTCGAGATCGAGCCTGAATGTCATGGCTTAAGCTGCTGCCACACGGACAAGCTGTCTGCAACGCCAACTATGCGTTCCGCGTACTCCGGAATGTTTATGGTGCTGTCCGGCTCATTTACCCTGCTTTTACTAGAAGACGCCGGGGAATTTGCATCCTTTCTCTGATCCACTTAGGAGGCTCTTGTGCCTGGATGCCAATTAGAGCCGCAGAGGACTCTGCCTACTGGGCCTTATGCGCGACTGACCGAGGACGGAATTATCGAAAGTACCTATGAAGGCGTTTTATTGGGGGTGAAGCCAGGAATAGCTGCATTTTCAGGTACATTATGGCAAAAACACCCAAACTTAGCCAAATTCGGTGTTACAGCGGGTAGTTCAATGGGTACGAAAGACAGGTCGGCGTTGATGGAAACCAAGGGCTTTGGGCAAAATGGGTCGGATGTGGTGATGTAGCCCCACCTGAAGTAAACAAACCCCAGACACCTGTAATACTGGACCGGTGGCAATAGGGGGTTTTACGGGTGGGGCCAGGGAACGCACAGGCGACGAGGTCAAGTAGTTTTATACAAAATAAAAACTATTGGGGATGCGCGGTGGTACTTTGAGTGGTTGAGAAAGAGTTGACCCAACCCCAACAGTATTGTGTCCATCAGGTGAGACTACATAATCACATCTTGCCGCAAAATCAATTTTGCTCTTTTCACCAACTAGACTTCGAACGCTGGTCAGCCTTTCTGAAAGCCCATCCCTTTTGAACAAGAAAACGTATGGGTGCCCTTATGGAGGATCATATTTGAAGCAGGGGTAGTCGTGCGGACGAGAATGAGACGAGAGAGACTGTTTGCGGTTATTGATGCCGCTTATGGCAGAAAAAAGGATGTTGCGGACATCGTTGCCAGGTTCTGCCAGTTTTATGGGAGTGATAATAAGTCGTGAGGAGACGGCGTCGGACAACGTTCGCCGTATCATGAAAAGACTGCCGCTTGTGATCCCTTTGTAGCTAGCGGATTTCGCATATTGGCGATTAACCACACTTGAAAGTATTAACGCTGCATGATCTGGAGTTGCTTGTTCGGCAGGTCGAAGAACCTAATGATCCCGCGGTTAACCTTCACTGAAGGCTATCACGACAGCTAGGGCCGTGTGCATGCCTTAGCCACAACGAGGAGAAGTTGGACACCGGTAGAGGAATAGTTGTATTTTGTACAGAACGGAGGAAGGGTAAGTTGGAGCAAGTAGACAGCCCGGCGAGGAGGACATGTGTGTTGTGATCGCACAGACGTCCGAGTGTCTAAGGCGAGGGCGTGTCCGTGTCAACCTTGAAGGTGATTGGTCGGTTGTGGTTGACCAAATCGCAGACAGCGCATCTCGTTTTCGGCGATTGGCCGGGGACGACGTGAGCATCGTCAGACGAACGACTACCGGTAGTACGTGCCGCGGGCATGTACCAGACAAAGGCGCAGTGTTGCAGCAGACGAAAGCGCGGAGTAGGTCATAACAAGGTCGTTCAAATGTTGGCCAATCGTGGATGACTCACGTAGCCAGCAGCTAAGTTAATTAGCCTTCCTGTCGCGCCGGCTGTGTGCATGACATCTACGACAACGTGGAAGTGACAATCCAATTCGTTACACGGGTACTCCCTAGAATACTGCATGAAGTCTACGGTCAGTGACCGATCTCATGAAATATTAACGAACATTCTAAAATGCGTTTTAGGCAAGATCATATTTCGTAGCCGTACGTGTTAGGGGTTAGGCTTAGGGGCAAGGGGTTAATGTTAGGGTTAGGGATTATGGGCTGGGGTTAGGGTTAAGCCCCCCTATTACTACTGACTCCGTTTAACAGGTGGCTGGGGCTTGTCTACTGCAGGTACGGCTACGAAATAAAATCCGACCTTTTCAGGTATTGCAATTTTCTCATTGATTTTCGATGCCCTTGAAAATTCAATTATATTTCATGGAAAAATGCATAAAAATATTCATTCTTTTACTTATTCGGTAGAAAATCACGTCTTCTTCCAATTTCATACTCAAAAGAAGAGTATAATCCGGTTTTAAAAAAGTTTCTAATTGTGAGATTTTTTAATATCATTAAATGGTCGTCCATGAAACGTCATGTATCTGCATTTACGAATGTGGCTTGTAAAGTTAACAATATTGCTCAAATCCACTGCTTAATTTTATAAACCTCATATGGTCTCTTCTTAACACCGTAGAGAAATGCATGGTTTTCCGTACACGGAAAATATACAGCTTGTAGTTTTGAAACCCTGAATGCAAGTGTGACAGCAGGTCGGGTTCAAAATTATTCGGGAGTTAGAAAAGCTTTTTAAAACCGAATTCTACTCTTCTTTTGATTATGAAATTGGAAGAAGACGTGATTTTCTACCGAATAAGTAAAATAATGAATATTTTTATGCATGTTTTCCATGAAATATAATTGAATTTTCAAGGGCATCGAACATCAATGAGAAAATTGCATACTACATAAGTGGTCATTTTTTGCAGAGTATAGTTCTTGCATGCAGCCGAAAATAAGTTCTTTCGAAAGCCGACACCCTGAGGTAACTGGATCATTATAGATTTATGCTGCATCATAATTAGTTTTACAACACTACTTAATTTATCTTTTCGAAACGAGAATGCATTTCGAAATTTTGGTTGACATTTCATGAGTTAGCACATCTACTGTAACTGGGATTGTAATATTGGTTATCATGCGGCCTAGTCCCATGATATTTCAGAGGCGTTAGGATGTTGGCTTTCGAGTGCACACCATTTAAAACGCCTGTAAAGGGCGAACTCGGTGAAAATGAACACTACTTACGTTGTATTCATTTATTTCCATTGGTTCTCGGCGCCATTATAAATTCTTTTTTTGCATTCAGCTGATGGCAAATCATTTATTACTCAAAAGGATATCTAACGATCTTAAGAAGTCTCCAACTATGAGACTTTTTGAGACCGCGCAATGTTCATTCAAATAGCATCGTGCCCATCTATTTATAAATGCTCCCCATGAAGTACGTAACGAAATTCACATAAATTGCATAATTTTATGAGCCGTATATAGGAAAACTACTGGTTTTCAATGCACGGAAAGTATACAGCTAGGAGACTAATGATCCTAAACACAAATACAACGGCAGATCAGCTTAAAATTATTGGAAAATTAGGAAACATTTTAAAAACTTAATAATCCCTTCCCTTGGGTGTAAAATTTGAAGAAAAAGTGATTTGGCACCATATGAGCGGAAAAGAGAACACATTTTCACGTTTTCCACAAAATATATTTGAATTTTAAGTCATCGATAATCAATAGAAGAATTCACACTACTTAAGCAGACACTTTTTTAACGTGTTCGGTCTTTGCTAGCGGCCAAATAAAGTGCATTCAAACGTCGATAACCTGGCATGGCTGAAATATCCCGAGATTATGCTGCACGATAATCAGTATTATAGCCCCACCTAAATAGTCCTTACTAGGCCAAACACATTTCAGAACTTCAGGTAACATTTCATGAGATCGGCTACTGGCTGTGAGAATGAGCGATACAGAAATGTTATTATTGTTAATATCACATTCAAAACACAGAATGGGATTTTAGGTCCCAGGGTCTCACAGCTCGCTCAAAGACAGCATAATTTCGTGAACAAACTAAATACGCTTCTGGGGAGCATGCAGTTGTTTGGGTCCGACTGTCCAAGGAAGAAGGCTATGGCCGACGCCGTTGGACGATGGTCTGAATCAGTAGCCTTGCATGTAGACCTCCGGCTGATCGACCCCTTCCCAACTGGGACCATTCGCACGGTTGAAAGCCTCGAATTGTCGGCTACCACAGCGCACACACGCGCTTCCCCACCGGCCTTCTCAAGATGCTTGCGCAAGTGAGGGTATGAGCTGCCAGCGTTGCAAAGTACGATGCTACCGATGCTGCTGCCTAGGACGGTCGTATTACTGTGGGCGTTTTCATCGATTGTTCGCAAGTGTTGGGTAGCATTGTAACAACTTGGAGACTTGCCCTGGTCTTCTATCCTTCCTTTATATTATTCTCCGTCTGCAACCTCGTGATCAGAACGTGCGGGTGGGGGGGGACGTTGTAGTTAGCTAGCGGGCTCCAAGACAAGCCTCTCCTGCAGTAAACCAAACCGTATGTGCAGAAGGTGAATGCCACTTACGAGGAGGGCCAGAATGCAGAACAGCTATCAATTTAACCGTGTAGTGAAGCAGTATAGACTCAAATCAACAATCAGACAGCAAATCATGCGGCCCAAAGACCTGCCACCAGTAATAGAAGGATCAGGGGCGGTCTGTGGCATGTCATGCCACAATTGCAGTGCAATATATGTTGGTGAAACGGGCAAACGCCTTGGCACAAGATCGCAAGAACTCCAGTTTGCAACAAAACGCAAGGATAAGCTGTCTGTGGTCGTTGCCCACATACAATAGCAAAACCGCAGTTTCGTCTTTGAGAAAGTGAGGGTGATGGACTAAAGCAATGATCAGATGACCAGACTGGTGCTCGAAAGTTGGCCCTAGAATATGATGAGTAACTAAGCCATAGACCTGCATTCTGCCTGTCAGGCGCCAGACACAAGCATCGAGTCACGTGGGGTCGACGCCCACGGAGGAGAAGCGTCGACCGGAAGTCACGTGGCCGACGCGGTACTGCTTCACCGGGACGCCCGCGAGGCGAAACGCACTGTGCACGAGCAGCAACAGTCGGCCAGCTGAGGGGCGGGGGGGGGGCGGAGAGACGATAACGCTGACTGACATTCTAGTACGGTGTTTATGTAAAGTTAGATATTGCATGTACCATATTCAGTAGGGTTTTCAAAGTCATTGCCCACTACCCCTTAAAATATACTGAGCTACTTTACTGCAACTACGACAGCTGCAAAGGAAGACACAAGTCGCGGGAGCCCGCCAATGGTTGACCTCGGAGTGACGAAAACCGACAGCTCGACCATCGTGACCGACGGTGCCCAAAGGGACGGTGACTTGCACGTGAATTCGCTTATAGTGACTGCAGACTTTCGCAACATCTACCATATTCTTCCCTCCTCCCCCATCTGGACCCGGTGCCATGATAGTCAGAAAGACCCGGAGGCGTCGTTCCTCCCTGCTGCTATTATAGCTTGGCCGATTTCGGCCTGGTAGTTGGTTGCCTGTTCGTAACCTTTGCCACTCATACGGAGCTTCAGGAAGCCAGTGGATCGGTGTGCGCCCATTCCTGACTGGATATACATCCACAACGACATCTACCGACGCCATAATTTTACACGACAATGCACCTGTCCATCGTTCTAGAGGAGTATGAATCTAATAACGCATTTAACCGTAAGCTGGCTTTTTAGACAACAGCCAGCCTGTCCGCATGTGGGCTCCGGTCGATTTTCAGTCCTGCCAACAGTCCAGATCTCAATCCCACCGAAAATCTCTTCGCACTTATCAAAAGACTCTGGCATAAGGCGAATAAGAAACTGGCCATGCATGAAAAACTTGATTTTATTCTGGACAATCACAATGAACAAGCCACTGTAGACAACTTGACCATCTCCATGCCTGGGAGACTAACAGCCGTGATTGATGCAAATGGACAATCAACAAGGTACTGATCGTTTGCATTAGTCATTATTTTACATTATTTTCACCATCCCATGCGTCCCCCTTTATTATGCACTCTTAAAGTTAGCCCTATTTAAGCGACTTAATTTGGTCATTTTCTGAAATTTTAGCTCTTAAGAAAAGTCATTTTTTACTGCCGTAGGATTTTGGGAAACGCAGGTTGGGCGGATTTCCCCTTATAGGGATTTTCTTGTATTAACTCATGGCATTTCATGAGTTAGCCCACCTACTGCATGTGCAAAAATTCAAGATCCAGATATCTTATCACGTTCAACATACCCCGAAGAATACAAAGAGGAGAAACTGGCGATTTCGTAGGCCTCGTATTGTAGCCCTGCCCCGACGCATGAACTTGGACAAGTCTGTCTGTTGCTGACTTTGTTGCTTTGACCTCTCTGAGGTTGACCACTGGCGGGCTCGTGCGGCCTTTGTCCCCTTTGTAGACGGCTCAGTTGTAGCCAAATCGGCGTGCCTGTTGGCTTGGGGTAAATCAAAGCAGACGAAACCCAATTGTCACACATCCCCCCACCAACACACACGAGACTGTACCACACCGCCCCACTAAAGGCACCTCCCATGGAAGTGCAAGGTGTGCTATTCAGCTCCTTCACCATTTGATCTTTGTGGTACCCCAACGCATGCGATATCCGAGGGCCCACCCCACTGCGTGACAACCTGGTGTTCCGCGGAGCCAGGTCAGGCGTGCGGTACGCGCAGACGAGCCGCGTAGCTATCAGTCATTTGGCGTACAATTCGCGCATCGGACGGCTGACC